CTGACGTTTCGAGCGTTAGCCCTTCGTCATTCGCCCCGACGAAGGGCTAACGCTCGAAACGTCAGCTTTTGTAATCGTTACGGTGGCCAATTTACCATTTCAACTTTGTTGATATATCCAAATTATTTCGTTACTCCAACCGACGCAGCCCCAAACAGTTTCTTTCGAAACTATCAGCCTTTATTTATTTATGACTCATATAACTCCTGTAAATACCAGTCAGGTTAACTTCTCAAAAGGTTAGCATTAGGGATTACAAACTCCTCACACGCTTGGCATTCTTGAGGACTTGCTGCCCCGTTGCTGCTCAGCTTAAGTTACCAAAACTCTCGCTTCTACGCTGACATTCTCTTGGTGAACCCATGAGTTTAGTTAGTTAACTGAGAGTACCACCCCCGTGTATTGTAGCACCTTCACGCGTGTCAAGTACGTGTGATTCGTGGGAATCACGCGCCCTTCCAGTCCGTTTGGTGGCGCGCGTGAAGGAGCTAAATTACTCACTTCGTTCGTGGTTTAATTTTTCACCGAGGCAACAGGTTTCTGGCTGGCGTAGCATGTATGGTTCTACCCTGATTAGGGCCCTGTCCCAGCTTCTATAAAGCTCTCTGTGGACATGTCAACTTTCATTCGTTTCATAAAACAACCGCATGAAATTACATGCACAAGCTTACTCCAATATAGCATTTTCCACACGGGTATTATGGCGATAAAGAGTGAAATTGCTTGTGGTATTCAGGCCATTTGATGCATTTCCAGAATTTCAAAGTGCGCAACGATTTCCAGCCATTGTATTTTGCTGTATCTGTCATCAACTAAGAATTGCTTCTGTGATATTTTAGTGATGTGGGATATATGCCTGCGTACAATAACCCCAACAATTGCCTATTTGATAAAAGCAGTGGCTTGTCTCCTACAAGCATGCCAGCCTACTGCCCTGCTGGTAGTACTTGGCGCCGCACCAAAGGGTATGTATTGATTAGAACTATTACGGTAGAGATGGTTTCAGTTGTACAATATGTCGAGTGTAATCCGGGTTTGCTTTCGTTTTTCTTTATGTCACTCTCTGATTGGTCCAGAAAACTCACGCCACTTTCTTAACCAGTCAAATGCAAAGCAGTGGTCCTTATGGAATAATTTTCTTTTTTCTGATTGGCCTGTTGTGATAACGTTGGTTTTTTTTTACATTTTTGGTTTTCTGACACTCGTTCGAATTCGCTCCAATGTCCGTCAGATGAACCATTTTAATGACCGCTGTGGAACGAGTAGTCATTGACAGTGACAAGCTTTTTTTAAGCATGAGAGGTATTCATCATCAATGTGAAGCGTCAGTTTGTGATGATGGCTAAATTGTCCTCTTTTTTGTATTTGTGTTCCAGTTATCGTAAGGTTGCCGGAGATACCTGTTCAGGAGGAATGGAGGATCAATTTTCTGCTGTCATGGTCTCCTGCAGAATAGGACGTAAGGACATGTTCATTTACAACTGAATGCTGAATTGTCTTAGTTTATGGTGAATTTACCCCTTTGGAAGTTGCCCCCACAACTAGTTCGTCCTACTTTGACCAGCGTCTCTACAGCAGCACGTATTCATTTCCTATCGAAATCATTCATTTGTAGTGTCAGTCAAATAATTCATTTTTTTATGGCGTACTCAACAGCTCAACCGCAGTTTTTGCTCTACGCTGCACGAAGATACATCCGCAGAATAACACTTGGCGACAATAGAGAAACAACTGTTCCACTCGGACGTGGGCTGCAAAATGCCATCGCGTTGGACTATGATTACGCTCAAAACTGCATCTATTGGGCTGACATCACCCTGGACACCATCAAGCGCTCTTTTCTTAATGGCTCTGGTAGGTTGAAACAAAATTTTACAAAACTGGAGCGGGAACAGTGCACTGGGGAGAGTACTCACCTCCCACCGCTGTGGCCTGGGTTCGATTCCCGGACCTGGCGTCACATGAGGGTCGATTTCGTTGTTGGTTCTCGTCCTTGCTTCGAGGTTTTTTTCTTAGTGCACAGGTTTTCCTTCCTCCGCATGAACCAAAATACCAAATTCAACTCGACATGGAAACAATGGACAGGAAAAGTCACTTCGTGGAATGTCCACTGCTAAATTCCATTATTATCATTATTGTCATTATTATTAATTTTATTATTATTTTTATTAACCGTTTGTCTCTCGCTGTAGTTACTTCCAATGTGCACCTTGACGTTTTGCCTGAAGAAGACTGGTAGTATGTAGTCAAAACGGTGCCATCCACTTTGAAAGTGACATCTTAGTGTGACAAACGATTATACTTTTTTGCCACAGCCGGTTTATATTTGCGCCTGAGTTATACATATATATATATATATATTTATATTTTTTTTTTTTCTTACTAACAGGAATAATTGAAACACTGCATGGTGGAATTCGGCAGGTGGAAGGAATTGCACTGGATTGGCTTGCGGACAACATTTACTGGATAGATGCTGTTGGAAAGAAGCTTGAAGTGTCTAGGGCAGATGGGCGTTTCCGTAAAGTCATCATTAGCAGCAACCTTGACCGTCCAAGGGCCATAGCCCTGGATCCTGTGGCAGGGTATATGTATTGGACTGACTGGGGTACTAGTGCTCGAATAGAAAGGGCGTATATGTCGGGGTCGAGTCGTGCTGCGATTGTATCATCTCGGCTGCAATGGCCGAATGGAATAGCTATTGATTTCACCGCGCGACAGTTATACTGGACTGACGCTGGTATGGATAAAATCGAGAGAAGCAACTTGGATGGAACCTACAGACAGGTAAACTATATTTACCACATGATACTTGTCTCTCAGTTCTACACATGAATGAAGGGAGTTATGAAGAAAATGTATTGCAAGGGGTATTGCAAGATAATTTGGTTTTATCAACTGAATTGACGATGTGTAAGTTGGCCACCGTAGAGAGTTTCTAAGCGGCCTTTTCGAGCAGTGAGTCGACATTAAATTTATTTTTCACGTATAAACAGAGTGACTGTAGGTAACGACCACTGCATCCCGTGTTAACACCTCCAGGAGTCTTGCTGATAACCATTTCGACAAAACCATTTCGACAAACTGGTTTATGGCCGCATGTGATTTGTGAGTTTGGCCAGAAAAAGCCACAGGCCGCGCGAGCTGCGAGCTGAAACGACGGTCATATGATAAAATTATTACTCTAACGCTTTAAACGTCAGCTTTGAAACTCTTTACGATTGCCAGTTTACATTATCAACTCAGTCGATAGAACCAAAATTACCTTGTTATACTTCCCCACCGACGCAGCACTGTAGTTTCTTAAGAAACGTATCCCCTTTATTTTTTTGACCGGGTTAGTTCGGGCTGGACGGAAAATATTTAGCTCCCGGTAAGGAAACCCTGAGTCATGTTGTTTCCTGTCCGGTGCTCTCTTAGTCATTAGGTACATATTGTTTTGTAGACAAACTGAGTAACCATAGACATTTCCTTGTTTCTTAGGTGATAACTAGCAGAGGACTTCCCCATCCTTATTCGATTTCTGTGTTCAAAGATTCAATCTACTGGGATGACTGGTCAACGCAGTCTATTAAAAAAGCGAACAAACGAGATGGCGGTGCTCGGCAGACCATCAAATCAGGTGTGCGTGGTCTTATGGACGTGAAAGTTTTCCACGAAGATGCACAGATAGGTGAGTAGTAGGGAGCGTTCACTTATGGAACGAGTTGCCGTTAAACTGAAACAAATGTCTTGTATCATGAAGACTTGTTAGAACAAATGGGAAACAAGGACTTAGATGTTTAGAAACTGGAATAGATTCCAAGCAATATTGATATATGAATTTCCTGGTGGGCCCCATTTCGGTTGATTTTATGATACAATAAAGTTTCCTTCAATATCATTACAAAAATGGCGCGAAATGGATATATTCCCACACTAAATGCTCCATTCCCTTTTCTGTCAACTAAGTTTGACTTAAAAGATCGTTTTTAATAATTTTACGACATTTTGTTCTACCTATGGGGTTTTATTTCAACGCATTGAGTAATTCCTGGTCAAAACATGTCATAGTCGATTCTGGAGTAAATGCAGTTCTCTAACTTTCACAAGTGCGTAAGCCCCGATAAACCGGCACTGCATTAATGTTTTCATCGAGAAAATTCTAGGTGACAGAATTTAATCAATGTAATCAGTATTGGGGCAACTGCGTACCTACGCCTCCCCCTTCCCCCCTTAACCCAATAAAAAAGGGAGGGGTGGGTGCGCAGATGCTCAGATGCTGATGTTGATCCATGGAATTCCTCCCTCTGGAGTGAAAGCTAACACTGATTCTTTGGTTCTTAATCGTAAGGCAACAACTCTTGCGGTCGGCTCAAACGCTGTAGTCACCTGTGCTTAGCAGTACCAAACAGCTATGCTTGTGCATGTCCCGATAACATGAGAACTGTGACATCTTTGTCTGGAATTGTGACGTGCGAATGCCAACCTGGTGAATATATGGATAGTAACGGAGAGTGTGCGACAAGGAGTGAGTACTTGGCTATCACTGTAACACAGTTATTTTGTACAGAAGATAATTTTTTTGTATTTTTTGTTCTGGAATCTCAGTCTTTGAAATTCGATTGTTAAAAATACATTCGAGGATTAAGAGTGCAGTCAAGTTTGGAGACCAGGGAGGCCTTTTGAGAACTGATCCAGGACTTTTGAAGCAATTAGAGGTCGAGTTGCCAATACCTTCTTGACAATAGGGACCTTAAGCAATCAGGACGGCAACGCCAAGGAAGACTTCGATTAAAGAATGAATTTCTACTCTTAGTTAGAATTTCAAAAATGGTTGCAGGACCTTACTGTCTTATACGGCGCCACAGCTCAACTTCAGCATGACGTATAAAAGTAGCGTTGAGTTCCAAATGGAAATTAAAATAATTTGCCGTCGCGGTTTCGGTTCGCAGACGACGCAAATTTTGGCGATTTCACGTTGTTGTTTTGCATAGGACGGCTAAGAAATGTACAAAGTTTCAAAACGCACGTGCTGAGCTATCGTTCTGCCAATTAGATCTCTTGTTTTTCCACGTCCTCGTTGCCGTCGCCGTCGTGGTTGCGTAAGGTCCCTATTAATACTCAAACGACGTTTGAGGGTCCTAATTTGCGTTCGTAGATAATCCATATATAAAACGTCTATGCATTATGCCAGCTCGATATTATTATATAAGAGACATTGACGGCAAAGTTTGTTTTAAAATGCGTGTGTTTTCAGCTTTTCTGCTTTTTTTTTTTTTTTATCTCGGTGATTTTAAAAGGTAGTCTTAACTACCTACCTGAAATGGGTTGGTTTCTAAAGGCGCACGAACACTCCCCACTTTTCTAAATGTGCACCAATTTAAAATGAATCACATTATTTCTTGTCGAATACCTTGAGACAAGTGGCCCATCCAGCCGCAGTTTATACTGGTTTTCATAGTATGAAACGACTGGGAGTATTACTACTCTCCCCCGGATGAGATGCTAGTCCATCGCAAGGTTCCCTCCCCCCCTCCCAGCATTTCATCAGGCATCCCTTTCGATTTGACTGTACACACGTATACTCCTGGCTGGAGAGGGACACTGTGAAAAAAGTGTTTTGCCCAAGAACGCAATGCATTGATCCAGGCAGGTCTTCATCCCGGACTTCTCGATTAGTTTTCCAGCTCACCATTGAGCCATTGCACAAGGTTCCTACGAGTCCCAGAAAACCTGAAAAGTCCTGAGATTTTATTTTGATATTTTCCAGGACTGGAAGGTCCTGGAAAAAAGACTACAAGTCCTGGAGAGTCCTGGAAATCTGCTTAAATGAAGCAATAAAGTTTCAGAATCAACGTTGTAATAAATGTATGAAGACTGTAAGGAGAATTTATTTTGAAATCTTGGGAATTAAAGGGTTTAAGGTGAAATTTGGAGTCCTGCAAAAATCAATCTGTGTCCTGTAGAAGTCTAGGTAAAGTCCTTGGAATTTGTTCTGAAAAAAAGGGACGAACCCTGATTGCATCTTTCACAAAATTTACCACGTATAGTACTCATTTATGCAATCTGAATCCTTTGTAACTTTTGTAGATGGAACATGTGCTTCCAATGAGTTCAGTTGCGCCAACAGCAGATGCATCCCATCCCATTGGAAGTGTGACCATGACAACGACTGTGGAGATAATTCTGATGAACAGCACTGCCGTATGTGACACGCTTAGTTGCTTAGTTTAACATGAGTATTTTCTTTTGGCACACATGTATTTGCATGAACAGCAGCTGTTTTGGTAAACCTTCCCACTCCCATGATCGACCAAGTTATTTCTCCTCGGAATATTATTACATTACCGAGCAGAAGGGATGTAAGAAGAGAGAAAAATCTCAACTAGAAGATACCGTCTGATTGAACAGCGAATTCTCAGCAGTAGATTTGTAAAAAATGTGTGTCAGACAGAATTAAGGACTGATGTCGAGATCTTCGGAATATAAGGGTTTTATTACCCATTTATTACCCATTAATCACCTATAGTACCACTGAGGCTTCATATTTTGCACTTTGTGTTCAAAGTAAGGCAAGATCTTAGCCCAAAATATTGCTTAACAATACCTAAAGAATAAACAGTGACGTTTGGTAATGTTTAACATCAGCCGGCTTTGGATGCAACTATATTCTGCAGCCCCTCCTTCTCCCAACTGTGAAGGCAAACGTAACACCCTTGTTCAATAATAACCCAGTTATGTTGCCTGCTGCAAAATGCTTCTAGATTCACGGTTTAATGTTCATTAATGAATTTTTTTTTTTACTTGTCTGCCAAGAGCGATGCAGAGAAACACTGTTGAAATGTTATACCCTAAAAAATCTTGTAAAAATGTTCATTGGACTCTTCCTTCAATTTCTGTTTTTCTTTGCCCCTTGTTTATTTAAAATTTAGTTCTCCCTGAGTGAAAACGTCGTCGGTTTTAAGTAATTATAAATCCACCTTGATTTCTACTTACTTATTTTCTTCAAATGTGAAGTGGATTGATGTCATTATTAATTAATGCACATGAATTCTTGTCTTTTCCAGCATATGACACCTGTAGCTCGACACAGTTCACGTGTGACAATGGCCGTTGTATCTCGGCGTCATGGAAGTGTGACCACGATGATGACTGCCATGATAATTCTGATGAGAAAAACTGCCGTAAGACTGACTCTTTTTAAAAATTTTATGCTGTGAACTTTATCTTTTACTGTAAGAAATTTCTTTGAAAATTTGCCTTGATATTTCTGATGAGAGAAACTGCCTCAAGACTGAATCCTTCTAAAATGTTTTATGCTGGGAACTATATCTTTCACTATAAGTAATTGCTTTGAAATTTGCCTTGTTATGTCTGATGCAAGAAACTGCTGTAAGACTGACTCTTTCGAAAATGTTTATGCTTTGAATTTGCCTTGATGTGTCTGATGCGAGAAAGTGGCGAAAGGGTGGCCTTCTTTCCTGAAATTTTATATATTTAAGCGAAATGTTTAAGCAGGTAACTTTTGCCATTGCCTTAATAATAATAATAATGATGATGATGTTATTGATAATGATAATGATAATGATAACGATAATATTAATATTAACATTAACAGTAATAACCCAAACCGCGGCTTGACTGTCAAATGACAGCGTCAACCCTTTAACGCCTGAGAGAGACCAGCATCTTATTTCTCCTTGCACTGTCACCCTATCAGTCAAACACTAAAGTCGCGAGAAAAAAAGAGGTGATCGCCGACTAATAGGAAGCCCTTGATTGTTAAACAAATGCTCCTTGCCAGCCCCTTAAAAATGTGTGGAGAACAGTATGAAGAATATGCATACTGATGTTGGGTGTAAAAGGTTAACAAACTGATCGACTCAAAGATCGCGGTAAACGTATCTTCACATAACAACACTCATTATGACAAATTACATCTAATTGCGACTTGTATGATTTAAGTAATTTGTACGAGTTTTCTGTCCCCTTTATCCAGGGTATCCTACATGTGGACCAGATAAATTTACATGCGCCAACAGACGCTGCATTCCAAAACGTTGGGTTTGCGATTTTGACAACGATTGCCGTGATGGCTCTGATGAACAAGGATGTACGCCAGGTAGGAATGCTCGGTGAATTTCTGTCGGGTTTTGATTATTTATTACATTTGCTTACTAGCTAACACCACAGACATAGCTATTTAATAAATCCACGCGTAGCATGGGATAGCATAGCGTTACCTTCCAACAATTAGCCTAGCTCACCATAGAGTCCTCTAAAGCTTAGTGACAGGTCATCCGAGCGCAGAGTCCGTATGTCTGAGGTTCGATTCCCCACGAGGTCTCAGAATTGTATTCCACACCACGCTAAAAAGCATCTTTCGTGGATACCAAATACACGTCTTCAAATGTGATCACAAAGAAACACGGCGCAAAAGTGCGTATACTTAAGCGCTCGTCATGGTGAAATCTAGGTACAACACTACTTTTGCTCACCTCCAACAACCTGCGTTGAATCCCCTTTCACAACCGTATGCGACTTAAAGGCCGATAGTTTCGAAAGAAACTGTTTGGTGCTGCGTCGGTGGGAGTAACGAAATAATTTGGATATATCAACTAAGTTGAAATGGTAAATTGGCCACCGTAATGATTACAAAAGCTGACGTCTCGAACGTTAGCCCTTCGTCGGAGCGAATGCGACTTAGTTCTCAATCACCCTGTTCAATGCATGCGCTTCAGAACCTTACTAGTGATTTGTTACTTGGACGACTAACCCTGAATTTTGACTGAGGCCCCCCAGGAGCTCCTGGATAAACAAACTGTTACCCTACACAAATAAACCAATGTAAAGGTCAGTAACAATCTACAACACAAAACAAGGTACACAACCCCTTTCCCCCCTTTCTCAACAAGAGAAACAAACAAAATCAAATAATCGACATTCAGACGAACGTAAAGTACTGAAATATGGACATGATTGGCAGTGATCTATGTGTGAATTATTATTTAATATACACCCGCGTGATTGTTTTCAGCACCAGTCACAACAGCACCACCTGTGTCCTGCCATTCCTCTCAGTTCGCTTGCAACAATGGCCGATGTATTCCTATCAATTGGAAATGTGACGGAGATCAAGACTGTGGTGACGGATCCGACGAGCCGAGCAGCTGTTCGTGTACGTCGAATAGATTTAAAGCATTGTTCACTTACTTTGCTGTACACGCCTAATCTAGTTTGCTCTCGTTTGCGTTGTCTTTTTGTAGCATTGCGTAGTCTTTCGTCTTTTGTCAGCAAAGAGTATCCCATGGCTGAATGGTAACTGCGCTGGGCAACGAGATTACTGTGTGGCTCGGCAAATCTTAAGGGGAACCCACCCAAACAGGTTGTGGGGGGGGACCCACCCAAACACGTCGTGTGGGGGGGAACCCACCCAAGCACGTCGTGTGGGTGGGACCCATCCATACACATTGTGTGGGGGGGAACCCAGTCAAAGACGTTGTGTGTGGGGGAAACCCACCCAAACACGTTGTGTGGGGGGAACCCACCCAAACACGTTGTGGGGGGGAACCCACCCAAACACGTTGTGGGGGAGGGGGGTGGGAAAGGGTAGGGGTCGAAGTAGGTAACTGACGGTAACATCCTATTGAAAAGGATGGGATTCAGTCGTGAGTGCGGACAATCCCTTGCATAAAATTTTCATCTTACGGGTTGTGAGGTTGAATGAGTCTTCGAGAAAAAGATATTAATCTTTGCAGTCGGAGAAATTTGATGAAATTCTTTTTAAGTTAAAGGTATTTATGTGAATTTCCCGTTTGAAATATCCGTCACAGAGGTTTTTTTTTATCTCTATTCATATTCACAGCACACAGAACGTGCTCCCCAACACAGTTCCTTTGTACAAGTGGACTATGCATCCCTGGTTCATGGAAATGTGATGGGGATAATGACTGTGGGGATCGCTCTGATGAACAAGGCTGTGCCAGTAAGTTCTCAGTAGATTAATTTTTTAATTGATTATCTAGAGCAATCCGGTATTCAATAAGTTTTGCCGTATTTTTCTCTTTGATTGGTTCAGGAGACTCGCACCACTCTCTTAACCAATCAGATACAAAACTAAAAGCAGTCACACGCGATTTTGCTTACTCTAAGTTCTCATTGGCTCTTCAAAGACCAAGTCTCTCGTGCCAGTCTCTCTTTATCCAAAATCTGTTCGTTCATGTTTTTTCATTTTTTGTGTTTAAGGTTTTCTCCCAAAAGTAAGAATTGATTAGAGTAAGTAAATACAAAATAATAGCTAATACTGCCTGTGGCCTATGGACATTTTGGCAGAGGTTCTAATCTCCACCATGTTTCTGGTGTCTTTCCTTCTTTTTTGAAGACTCTTCAACTCGTGCTCCCGTTACTACGGCACCTTGGACCCGACCTACCAAATGCAGAATTTGGGAATGGCAGTGCCACAATACATACTGTGTTTACCAGTGGGATGTCTGTGATGGTGTTGATGATTGTGGAGACAATTCAGATGAGTGGTTCTGTGGTATGTATCTAGACAGGAGGTCACACACGGAAACTAAAGCAAAATGAGCGATATTAAAGGTACCGCAGCTTGACATGTTTGTTTGCAGCCAATCCTTTCGTATGCAAACACACTGTATGTGCTCGCTTCCAAAAAAACAAGTGAAAGAAATACAGCAATAAATCGGCAGAACAGGAGCTATAGTTTTACATGTATCGAATCCCCTTCGACTACAAAATAATGCTTGAATAATCTTTAAAGTGCTACTGAAACGTAATTTTCATATCCGAGATTTTTGCAATATAATAGAGTTTGAACGTTATTTGCAAACGCTGTGTACTTTTTTTGAGCCAACGCATAGCGGAAAGTACATTTTTAACCATTCGAAGTTGACCGGCTGAGATCAAAATTGGCGGCCATCTTGGCGCGGCCAAAACAGCCCTGTGACGTCACTGGTTGTGTACTTCTGTGAAAGAAGGGTAAAAGCATGGAGTGTGGCTTGCATGTTGGGAGGCCGAAAAAGAGGATTTCGGGCAAAATGCCATCCTCGTCTTATTCATCGGCGGCCACATCGGCATCTTGGCTATCTGCGAGAGGTTCGCCTGGATAGGGAGCAAAATTCCCGACTGATACCGAGAACGAATCTCTACCAGTCTATTTAGTTAATCGGCAACTGACGAGATCCACAAGATTAGGATCGAAACCGCGGTCTTGCCTGACCATCTACAGAAAAT